TGGTTTGATGCTAAGTCTTCAAGTCCTGTGAAACGCTTTCAGCAGACCCAGCGCTTTCAACAGACCATCGCAACTTGAAGGCATCCAGCCCCATCCACTTCCTGGCAGTGCAGGACATAAAAGTAGCATGCGTTTGCACGCAGCCGTCAAGCTTCGCATTCGTGTTTCCTTTGTTCTTTGTCTGCATGTTTTGCAGTATGTGATGAGTTTTTCATGCATTGCAGGTTCGGTCAACAGCATCATTGTCTAGCCTAGCACCCATCCCCTATCCGAAAATGTGGCGCACGTCGAGGCATCCACGGATTCCAGCTGCATTCTGTTTCACGCTCTAGATTGCCCTCCTCGACTTTACTTTGCTAGGCCCCCCAGGCAGTAAAGATGTCCAATCGATCCTACCGCCTTGAAGAATAAGAATGCTGAATGCTACACGTCGACTAAAGCATGGGCATCTTTTATGAAGAGTCTTGGTCAAGCTCAACCAGGTCGACGGAGAGGAAGGCAGATTGTCATGACTCATCAAGAAAGATTGATTTCGGAAGAGACCCTGCGCAAAGCCTCAAGCATACTAAAGCAGACATGTCCAGGCCCTTGGACGAGAGGCCTTGACATCCATGCAACGCAAATCTGCAACCTGTAAGAAACACTGATTCCAGCACCTGGCAACAGAATTTCAAACATTATGACGAGCAAGTGTGCAATGAGCGTGCCGGGTGCTTGCAACTGCTTAGAAGTGAAACCCATCAAGCCACTGCCTTGACGACCCAAGTCTGAAAAACAAGTGAGTGCAGAGCAGCACGAGGCCCTTGTGTCTGTCCTTCGAAGACTGCGACTTGTCTATAAGCCATGCCGTGAAAGACGTTTCTATTTGATTTGTCGATCCTAACATCATCGCCATACCCCCGCACCCGCATGTCCAAGAACACGGCAGACATATTGCAGTCGGGATCCCATGCTTGTAAGGTTAGCAATCTTGCAAAGGTTTCCCCATTCCCCCACATCCTACCCATGATTGTTCTGCCTTCCGCATGAGGCGAGCTCACAAAAGAGCTGCCAATCAGATCCTGTAAAAACAATAGCATCATCCTTGCGCCATGATTGAAGAAAGCGTTACGAGATTGATATCCTAGGCGTACATCGCATCATCGAAGGTCTTACAATCCAACAGAGACGGAACGGGACGAGCAACCGTTCACCAGGTTTCCTCCCATGACAACCGCACTCGTACTGGATTCGGAAGCTTGATGAGCGAGATGATGATTTCCCTGCACGAGTGCTTGCCGGTGAGAGCACGACAGGCACGATCCGGAGAAGGGTGAACGAGTCGATGCAGTCCCCGTTCCGGTCGTGTCGCACGATGGCGATATCCCCATAGACAGAAGTCCCTGGAGAAATCTTCAGGCATCTTCGCCTAAAAGCGACGGAGGATCGTCGGCAGCCTCGAAGGCGGCCCAAGTCCCTTGCCTTTGGCCAGGGAGGCTCCAAACTGATGGAACTAAGCTGGAGGATGTCATCGCAACATGTGCGTCAGGGTAAGGGCAGGCACTGGCACAGGCTGTCGGAAACCGTCGGTCTGACAGGTGCACTTGGGGTCAATTCTCTCTGAACCCATGCCATCGATTTTTCTGGTGCATGTGCATGCGCAAGGACGACATACAACCGCAGATGTGCACCGTTGCATGGGCCCTGGCCAGCAGTGGCAAAGCAAAGTGAAGCGCACCACTCCAAACCGGGCCTGCTCTCATCGACTGGCAAATGTTGTCTTCACAAGCTGTGCAGGACTCGAAGGAGGATTTGCAGGATGGAGCTTTCGTCCATAGAATGCTGAGGTTGGTCCGGGCTCCAGGGAGTTCATTGCTGGAGCCAGCAGCTCAAAAAGATTCAGAGGTCTGCAGGATTTCATCATCGCAATCATGTAATCATGTGGATGATTTGACTCCAAGGTGGAGACGAACTTCACTCTGCAGCTCCGTGATGCCTTCGGCAATGCCGTGCCACATGTCGATGGGGTCACAGCGCCTCGGCAGATCTCGGCAGCAGTTCGTCCATTTGACAGGAACGCATGGCAATATGCGGCCTGAAGTTATGTCAGACGGAAGAAGTACAGTTTGCAGCATCTGCATGTCCAGGGCTCCGATGATGACATGTCGGTCGGAACGACGCATTCCAAAAGAAAGAACTTAGATGCATGTTACTGTAGCAGGCGGAAATGCAAAGGGGTTGAGCTATGCAGTGCAATCATGCAGTCAAGCAGTCAGCGGGTAAAAGTATCTGAACACGCGGTGCAAGCCCTGTATTAGAGAAGCAGAGAGAAAGCACGACGATATCCGTCTAGACACAGGTTCAAGGCTGCGCCTCTGTTTCTAAGCACTGACGACTGGCGATAGTGCGTCTAAGGGTCAAGGATGCAGTATTCCTCTCCTGTCAAGAGGTCTGCTTTTCTGTGGTTTGGTCAGAGAAGCAAGCGACTGGGAGGGTCGCACAGTTGCGGTGCCTTTGAATCCTGACGGGTGGGAAGACCTTACCTGTCTCGGCCGCGGCGGCTGAGAAGGTTTCTTCATGTTGTTTCAAGATGTCTCCATATATGTCTCTTATCAGTGGGTAGTTTTGGGGCGTGAAGTTCATTGAAGTTTCTTTGCTTTCGTTTATCCTCAGGTCGAGGTCGACTTGGAGTTTGTGGAGGACTGCACCTGTCGAAAGGGTGTCAACAAACTGCCATGTAGACGCCTGTGTTGAGGACAGTCGAGTTCTCATTGAGAGTTTGCAACAGTCCGTACCATCTCGCCAGGAAATAGAGCCGAACTTGACGTATGATGATCGACGGCTCCGCAACCTCACTGGCGGCCCGAGTCCAAGCAAACAACGAGACCTCCACTACACGGATTGATTTGTGCTGAGGCCATTATGCGACGGCAACTTCCATTACGCCGGGCCTCTCGCAAAGAGCTCCGTCTGCGTTTTGAGTCCTGGCTGTGCCCCAGGAAGGGCGAGTCTGGCAGCTACTTCATCACGTACACCGGCCTCCGAGCCGGGAACAACCTGCTGACGATCAAGGCTCCGACTGGGAGTCCAGAGTCAACAGTCATGGAGTCATATGAACCTTGCTCGATTTGCCACCTGTCGCTCCACTCTGTAGCTCGAGCGCGCATCTGAAGTAGAACCTGAGAAGCTCAGCGACGAGCACAACAAAGCAATGCTGGGCTTGTCTGCTTCTACTTCTGCTTTTCCTCACCCCTGTTCCACCCTGTTCCACCACGAGCTGCTCTCACAGCGCGTGCCTGCTGGAAAGCCGTCCGCCAGGGCTGCGAACAGTGCTGTGAAAGCAGCTCGTGGTGGAACACTGAAAGCCGAAGCAGAAGAAGCAAAAATACAATGCCTCGCAGAGTGCGAACATCCTGTCATGTTGGAAAGACATACAGGCCTACGCGGCCTATTGCACTTCATCTTTCAGCGACATGCTGCATGGCTTGCTGTCGGTCGAGCTTCGTGTATCTTTGGTATATATTATAGAGATACACTTCTATCATAGTATTTCCAGATTCCGCTACAGACCGACAGCAGCCTCAAGTGCTGCAGTCCATTTTTCAGCCCATTCGCATAGCTGACTGCCGACTGTGGGATCAAACTGTTCCAAGCGTTGTTCAAGGAGGCTTGCATGGCTTTCATAGGCTCACTTGAATCAACTTCTGCAGGCAGTTGGAGGGTTATCTCCAGGGTGCACTCGCTTTTGTTTTGGACGGGCCGTGGTTGTGGACCGATTTGCTCCAAACTTGGCTTTTGAGCAACAGTTGGGCCACAAGCTGACTTTGCTCACCGAGACTGGTGTGGACAACTTGTTTTTTCTCCCCAAGCCTGTGGTTGAGCAGCAGTGTTGGCCTGGAAGAGGTCAAGAGGAGGCAAGGAACAGGGCAAAAAGGGGCAGCCCAGAGGAGAAGGCCGGAATGTGCTGTCCTCGCCACCCAGGACACAAGTCAAACCCGGAGCATTTCAAACCAGCACGGCTGGTTTGAAACCTGTTTGCGGGCTTGCGGCGGTCACCCGATGGGCCCGCCCTATCCCACGTCGGACTGAAGCGAGTGCCCAAAGGATCCCCACAACTGCCAGCAGGATCAAGACGCGCCACAGTTCGCAAATGCAGCCAGATCTTGCTGACGAGGTCAACGGCCTTGTGATCATGGGCCATGAGGAAGAGGTGCAGCGGGCAAGATTCACCCCGTAATATGTGCATCGCACTTTCAACGATTCCTTACCGATCCCATACCACCTGAGCCAGGTCATCTACAACCCGCCCGTTCAAGGACAAAACGCGCAGTGCCCTTACTTTGGCCCACGAGCTCTCATCAACTGCAGTATCACAGACTTGTCGCGGCGCTGTCATCGAGGGATCGAGTCAACTTTCAAGTTTTCTCGTATCCTGGAAAGGCCTTTGCAAGTCACGGGCTTCTGGAACGAGCGGGCGAATGGCCTGATGACAGTTTTCGCACCAGCCAGGACAGAATTCGGAGTCACATGAAAGGGGGTTGACAATTGCGCTCAAGAATCGACCTCATGTTGGCCGAAGAACTGGTTAAATCGGTTTCGAGTCCGCTGCTAGATGCTTTTGGGGCTGTGGTTACCAGTGATATGAAACCTCGACGTGCACTATCCATCCCAGTCCCTGCTGAAGCCACCGACAAATTTTGTCGATGGCTCTGTTACTGACAGCTCCTTGCAAACCTAGCAGCTGATCAAACGGACTTCGGAGTTCTCTTCGTTTGCTCACTTGTCTGTTATCTCGAGTTGCCTTACAATGCTTTTCAATATGGCAGTGCTACAGACTGGCCAAGGTGATGTCCTTGTTGCCCCAAGATCCCCAAGCATTCCTTGACAGGCTTCCGGCAGAGTGTACGACTGGTGTCATCTGCGCTGTTGTGTTGCTGGTCAAGCAATGGCACCAGGTGATCTCCCGAAACGTGCTATGACATGCTGCAAGGTTCCACTTGCGTGACACCTACGGCAACCGTATGCTCGGAGACTATCACGACCAATTGCGGCTTGACAACAACTGGGAAAGCCTGCACCTCCGTCGCTGCAAGCAGATGCTTTGCAGGTCCATGGTTCATCCAATACCAGGGTGGGGGCATACATTCTGAGAGTGCTGCCCTGCCGTGAAAGGCAGTACCGCACTGTGGACACTCAATGCAACCCGGACATCTTGGAGGATCCTTGGTGCGTGCCGGTGGACGAGGCAGGTATTCGGTATGCCTGTTCTATGTTCCGAGCAACAGTGGGCAGAGAGTCGTGGAAACTCCTGCCTGGGAGAGATTGATACACTGATCCGGCTGCTGTGACAGGGTCACTGCTTCCAGATCGAGGGCTTGGGCGAGATGCATGCAGCTGGACGGAAATGGGAAGCGCAGCGACTTTTGTCAAGGATTCCTTTGGCGTTCAGTCGACCTAGTACGCTTGAAAGCAGGGGCTTGCCGAAGCATGCGGCTGGCCTGGGCTGGCCTGGGCTTGCACTTGGTTCTTCCCTGAGCCCCAAGCTCTCAGGCCTGCGAGCTCACGCCAACGATCGGCAGCCTTGCAGCAAGTTGGGGTTCCCTGAAGGCCCTAAGACCTGCCCATGTGTTCTGGCGCACTGTCACCCTCAGTTGCCAGCGTTTTGAGCCGAAGGGTTGCCGAACTTCCAACTCGGCTCAACGGTGCTGAGAGGCTCATGGAGTCTATGCAGACAGGCACACGTTGGATCAAGCACAGCGACGGAGCACAATCGCTCACGGAGTGCTATCGTCGACTTCAACGGCGGACGGTGAGGAAACTGGTAGGGCACGTGCTTCTGACGGCTCCGGGCTCTGCAAATCTCTGCTTTGTAGTGCACAGGGGAGCCGTGGTGGACCTTTCCTAGGTGTCATCCGGCTGTGCAAACCTTGCAGGTCAGAGTTGTGTCTAGCTGTTGCTTTCGTTCCTGGCTCTCGGATCTCTGCTGTGGCTGTCTCTCTTTGCTCTCAGATGCTCGAGTCTCGCCCCGCGCGGATTGGGCATCACGTGGACCTGTGAAGATTTGCAGACCCGGCAGGTAGTTCATAGAGATGGTTCATCTGAAAGATCCTGCCTAGGTGGTGAACTGCATGAACCGACAGATCGTTGTTTTGAGGCTCTCTGCTCGCAGGCCCCTCGTTTTGTTTTTTCGATTCGTGGCTCGCGCCGAATTTCCGTTGCTAGCATCGAGCAGCTGCTTTTTCTCTCTACGACTCCTCGCGCGGGATGATGCACTCGTCTTTGCGATTCGTGCGTTGCTTCTTGCTGCTTGGTCAAGCTGCCATCACTAGCCACGATGGAAGACTTGAGGTGGCAATTACCTACTGAGGCGGGGGAGTGCTGCAGTGTTGGCGTTTTGTGGAGTGAAAGCACAGGACAGAAGTGCCAAGCTTAGCAATGTAAATGCTTTCGCGAAGCGGTGTGCAAGGAAGGCTTTTCCAGCCAAGCTTGGGACTTCAGAGTTCGTCTTGCAGCCTAGAAGAGCATGGCGTCAGTGTTGGGAGGCTTCTGGTGAATGGACAAGATGCCTCGTATGCTCTCTGGGCGGCGCCTCCGACAGAGTTCTAAAGACACGTCAACTCGGCCTAGTTCGACCCGGCATTGTGCTTTAGTTTCCGTGACAGGAAAGCTTGGGCAGCTTCAGCTTGGAAGACGGAGTGTCTTGGTGCCAATGAAAGGGTGATGTGAACCGAGAACCTGAAGCCTGAGCAAGATTTGCACACTTGCCAGAACATGCTTAGATATGGCTTCTGCCGTCCCCCGTGCTTGTGACATTGTGCAGACCGCCTACATCCGCGGACCTACGGCCATTTTGGTGAACATCGGGGTTGCTTGGCTACGACGCATATCGGAACGGCAACCCGGTAGTACATTGCGCCATATTGGCGCCGAACCGCAAATAACTGCCTGAGGAGATCAACGCCACGACCTCCACCATGGAGGGACCGGGGCGCCTCCTCGAGGGCAACTTGTTACGATCACCGGAAAATACCGGTCTTTCTCTTTTTTGGTGTGATCTTCTTGACCTGCAAGGTAACACGGTGGGAGTCCCTCAGCCACTTCTGGTGCAACTGAAGGACCAGTATGGAAACAATCGTCGCGGCCCGAGCTTTCCAGCAGCCTTGGACCCTTGGACCTTCCATGAGGTCGCCTGGTGTTTTCGTTGCTCAGGCATTGTTACGGGGTCAGACTTCCAGCAGCGGCGCAATGGCATCGCAGCCACGCTCCCCGGACATCGGGATACATCGGGATTAACATCAAAAAATCCATAGCTCCGTGCTTACGTAAATGTGATTAACGGTTTAACGTACAGGACGAGAAATTACGCAAGAGTCTTCAGGCTCCAAGCATGCGCCACCGTGCCCAGTCGTTTGTCAGTCAGCCAGGACGTGAAAGTTGCAGCTATTTGCCACATTGTTTCAATACAAGCCTTGCTTCTTGTGCCAGACAGAGAGTGCATCATAGCAAGAACGTGCGAGGCGTAGATGCATTGATCGTTTGCTGACCAAGCTGCGCCGGAACTCTCCTGGAGTCTAGGGAGCATCGTCTAAATAGTTGCAGGCCCGTGTAGGCGCCAAAACGGAGGGCCGTTCACCCGTGAGTCAGTGCACGACCTTCAGCTGTATTTCTATTGTTGTGATTAACCAGTTTCTGCACGTGTCCACTTCGTTGAGTCATGGCTGCAGACAAGGCTTGGTGACCGTGAGCTGGACACGATCGTCTACGACAACGGGACTATCGAAGTTACGGTGTCGCGGAGTGTCCAGTAACTCTTAACTTGTCTTCTTGCCAGCCAGAAGTATTGGTCATGTCCAATGCTGTCCACGATAGGATTCTTTGAGTTTTTTTTTCCCTCACCGTCCTGACCGTGAGGTGCTTGCAATTCAAGCAGGCTACCACAACCTTCGTGTAAGAATTGGAGCAGGCTGCCTCCAGGCAGAGGGCTGAGGCATCTTGCGGTGGGATCATTTGTAGCATCAGGCAGGAAGCACCGGTGAGTCGCAAAGAATTTCAGGTGCCTGTGCGCGATCCTTGTGAAGACATTTCGGGTTCCCCGACTACGCTGCTCTGTCGCTGGGCTGCTTACAGATGAATGCCTTGCATCTTCAATCAGGCAGGACATGCTAAGGAAAACTGTGAGGTGTGCACAGAATGGCGCAACTATGGGCAGCTTTACAAGTATCGAAGCCAGTTCGGAGCCCTGGTACGCTGAGGGTGGAAAGAGGCAGAAGTCTCCGAGAACGGAATGACTTGCCAAACACCTTATGCAATGGAGGTGCCTCTGCAAGCAGGAAGGAGTCAAGGGAAGTCACAATCAGTCATGCTTCGTCAGTTCCTGAGGCTGGGAGACAATACCACTTCACATGCACCGGACGCGATGTCTTCGGCAACATAAACAGAGATCATGAGCTGAAGCTGACCTCCTTCTTCAACTACGTGGCCGTGACGTGTCCGAAGTGGTAGCTGGAGCACTCAGCAGTATTGGGATTCCTTCGCACACCAAGGATCCAGAGGGCTTCGAACCGCCGGATGGCTGGTTCCGTAGAATGCTCAGTCTGGAGATCCAGAAGACACGGAAAGGCAGTCGGGTTGTAGCTTTTGCTGGCCTTTGCGGTCACATTTTGAGCTGCAACAGCTCTGCTTGCCAAGGCGGCAACCTTAGTGAGAACTTCAATCAGACAGTTGTGGGCAGCTATCTGGCATCAGATGGCAGGCTCGCTTGCACATCTGGCATGTGACGATATGTGACGGTGCAACAGCCGCTTCTTCTTCTGGCTGCTGCACACTATCCTCCGTTCTGTGGGTCGCAGCTGCAACCCAATGACCAAGGAGGCAATGTTGCCCCAACAGATGCTCGGACACAGGTATCATTTCGACATCACGCTGTACCGAGCCGGCTTCTACCAGCTGATTATTGAAATGGTCAAAGGTGCTCCGGTAAGCGTGATGAGATGGTATTTTTGCTTGCCCAACTAGGCAGCCGCCATCAGCAGGCTAGCTAGAAGAGATACTAGCTGAGCTCTGAATTGCAGTCAGTCACAACCAACTGCACACTCGACTCCCGACAGTTGGCTCCGAGCCAGCCATCGTCCTGGCAAGCAACGTGCTGGCAGAAGGCTGGATCAGCACGATGGGCGCATGATCTCACTTCGAGGCTTTCGTGGCTGCAGCTTAAAGATGTAAACATGAAGTACTAGATTCCACGCGGTTAATAAAGTAGCATTACTCTGAGCACCACATAACATCCTTCATACCACCGACACCGCTGGAAACTGTGGCCAGGACGTCCCGCTGGTGAAGCGACTTACGTGCTTGGATTCCCGTCGCTGCGACTCTGTCTGAAGAAAGCGAGTAGCCGAAGAGCATTTCACACCATTTGCTGGGCTGTCTCGCACTAGGATGAGTCAGGAACATCCCTCGGTTTCCCAGGCTGAACGCATGCTTTTTTGGAGCCGACAGGCCTTCCTTCATGTCGTCGGTGGTGGGTGGCTTTGTCACGGCCGTCGCCAACGTGGCCAACGAGGCATTTGAAGAGGATCTCCAAGATTCACAGGTCTCATGGCATGGCTTCTCGCATCCTACCGGCAGGTCTCTGTGCAGACAAGGGACCGCTTCGGCAACGCAGTTGAAACCGCAAGCAGTGCAACTTGGTCTCACAGGAGACAGCTGCATCGGTCGTGCAAAGCTCCTTTGCAAACGCCTTTTGTAAGGCGGAAGTGGTTGCACAACTGCGGGGACGCTCTCCTGTGCAGCTGTCCTTGCTGCATCTCATACAAGGTGCGCACACGCTGCTTACAAATGGCTCGAGCACGCAGCAGGACGCAGCAGAGCGGAGAGCGTCGTAGGTTTAACCTGATTTAGACAACCTCAGACTCAGAAGCGTGTCCAGCGAGATGTTCTGAGTCGATCTCTTCCGCAGGTCGGTATCGCGGGGCCCTTGTGCCATTTGCGGCGGGGCCCACGCTCCTGGAGATCCGGGTAGCTGGGGAAGAGATCGTGGGCTCTCCGTGCCCAGGCTGAAGCCGGAAGCCTTTAGAAGCCCTCAGGATAGGTAGTGGCAGGTACTTGTACCTGCGTCTCCGTAGAAGTCTTTGTTGCAAGAGTTCGGCGAAGCATGTCCCGCAGCGTTCTCATGAGGTTCGATTTTCTGGTCACACCGGGTCCTATGGTGACCACAAACTCGTGGCTCGGCCAGCGCATGAGCTCGACGGTATGGGACTGTACCTGTGTACGCAGAACATCGCAGAACATGTCGTCACACTTGGGTGATCTTATGGGCATATTGCGGACGGGAACTTCCGTTTTTGCCATCTCAGGCTTGTCGAGGGTTTCCCCAGCGAGCTCACTGCCGGTGTACTGTCATGCTGGAACATCACATTGAGGGATGCTGCTTGCCTCACACTTAGACTTAAAAAAGACCCGACATGGACGAGAGCGAGTGCGAGACCTGCCCCCAGGCCACAAGATTCGCAATTCAAACTCTCACCTTCCCGCAGCTGCATGTAGGCAATGTAGGCCACTCGAGATAGCCGATATCCTTTGTCCGGTTGAGAACTGATCTCTGACCTGTTAGATTTCTATCTTGCCTGCTTCCGATCTACAGGTGTGCGGCAAGGCACAACCTCGCCTTTTGCACGCATGCACTCGCCAGTGTGCTAGAGATTTTTGCTTACGCTTCAGGTCGCGAACAGTACAAGAGGGAGAGATGCAGACAGACACTGCGCCAGCTGCAAACCGATGCTATCTAAGTAGTGGCACTCTTTCAAGGGGGCACATAGCGTGAGGCCACAGAGAACCACTTGCTGTCCGGGCAGTTCGCGGGAGACCCGACGCAGCTCGAGCCTGTGACTTGCTCAGACCCGGGCTCCTACTGCCACTTTTCAGCACGAGAAGCAGGAGGCGCGTCCAAGGTAAGTAGCGTGTGGCATGACCTGCACAAGATTCATGAAGCCATACGAACGTGTGACATCGAAGCTGCATGTGATGGTGCAGCACTGAACCGAGGCTTCCATACTCAGCTGCCTCCAAGCTGCACTTGAGTTTCATATGAGCGCCCGATTGCGGGGCTCTCGTCAATGTGGAAGCTTTGAAGTGGAGGTCTTTGGTGCAAACTGTGTTTCATGAGGCACAGCATCATAGAGCAAGCATTGTCAGGATTTAGCTGGATTGCCAAATTTGCAGTCTGTGGCATCAAGAATTAAAAGTCTGACGGACTGAGTGTGACAGCCCCTTGAGGAATGGAACGTTCACCTGCTGCATCAACAAGACATCAGTTGAAGAAGTTCCGGCAAACTACTTAATCGCTGCTTGGCAACCATGTAACGTCCTTGCGGAAATGGCAGCATTGGGGCGGTCTGTGAGTGCGGATTATTTTCCTTTGCTGCCTCGTCAGAAGCAAGAACTGTAATGAGCTCTGTGTGCCCTGAGAGCTTGTAAGAAGAAGGTTGGGGTGAAAGTGCCAGGTGAAGTTACCAAATGTGTTTGCCGCTTGTAAGGACACATTTCCATTCACCTGCCAAATTCGCGGCGACAACATCTTTGCACCAGAGCCTCGTCACAGACGGCACTTGCACCGTCAAATCAAAGCTGCGGAATCTTACGATAATTCTTGTGTCATCCTGTGCCTTTGACAGGAAAACATCAAGCTGTGGCCACATCCGGTGTCGCCCTACTGGCCGGACAGCAGCCTGAAGAGTGCCTCGGCAAGATTGTTTTCAACTCGTACGGCGACGATGACGACGATGGCCATTGCCTCAAAATCTTCTCACTTTATTCAGCCATGTTTTCAGAAATGCAAGCGTCGTGAAGTTTGGGAATCAATTTCATGTTCACGGTAGATTCAGGCTGTGGTTCTACGTGGTTTGTTGAAGTGTCTTTCTGACCCTCCTCTGCTTACTTGCATGGAGAATTTGGTGCGAGATCCCCCAGAACGAATCTATCGATCCAGTGATTTACCCTCTGGAGCAGGGAATCACGGAAACAAACCGACAAGATTAAGATATCAATCCGTGAATTTACGCGTAGCAGACACAACGTCACCATCGCAGTTGCACGAAGAAGCGTAACCACCCCTGGGATCGGGATCGCAAGAAGTGCAGGAGCCTAGATGCTCAGGAACTGGAAAGTTAAAGAGAATTATGTTGATGTTAACGGAGAAGAAGCCTGAACATCACGAAATTTGTGGAACAATCACTTCCGTACCCAGCTGCAATCGTGACCTAAGTTTCATGTTGTCAAAGTCTACCGTGAAGAATGTTCCTAGTGCCAGCAATGCCGGAGTTTTTGACTCACAGCTTCAACTGCAGGTATAGCTACTCATTGAAGACCCCTTCCGAAATCACCCGAAGAAGTAGCATCCGCATGACTAACCTTCTCCCCACATGCGTTATTCACGGTTGGTTGCTTCACACTTCCGGCTGAACACGCGGATTGAAAGCAAGAGTATTTCTGATTGGTGCATCCTCCAACATGCTAGTGGCATCCCGACAGGCTCCCTCGGCAAGCCAAAAACACATTGATAAATGACTGGTGAAAACACTGAGTTGGCAGCGGTATGCTTGGACCGTACGATTACCCGACCTTCATCGACGAGCAGTTTGGCTGGAAGGCTGGCAAGTGTCGGCAGCGAATGCCAGCGTTACGTTGCAACCGCACCGGTAGTCCGTCGCAGGACTGGCCCACAAACTATTTCCGTCGCGTGCAGAACGTTGACAGCGGGCAGCCGCAGCACCAATGGAACCGCTTGCGCACCCTGGCTTTAGCATCGCCTGAGAGGTCTTATGAGTTTTGAGTCACCGCGTGATGCCAGCCGGAGTCTGCCCCAGGCTTGTGGTACACCGATGGTTTCTACAATGTTTTCAAAGGCAAGGCTAGTCGCTGAGCTGCAGCTGCAAGAGAGCCATGTCTGCATCTGAATCATCTGAACCACACATATTGAGGCCACCGCGCCACTTCGCATGCCCTCTGACCAGATAGAGTTTCATGCAGCACATCCGGATGTGCAGGTGATGATGCAGCTATCCTCCTGTGTGATGTCAAGGGCCCTCACTCACTTGGAGTCAAAACGCTTGGACGGCAGCTCGACAAGCAAAAGTAGGTGAGCCCCATGCGTATGAACGTTCCGCCTCGAACTTGCAAGACTCTCAGCTTCGAGCGCTAGTCCTGGAGCAGCTGCGCAGGTCCTGATTCTGCACATGTTAAGATCTCTCAGTCAAGTAGCTGTACCGTCCGAGGCCCACCCGACCGCTGTATCGACTGCCCTACACCTTGGACCAGGAGCTCGGAGTTTTCGAGGCGAGGCTTTCATGCCTTGTTCCCTTCGAGGCTTTCATTGTGAGGCCCAAAACCTCAGGAATAGCTCGACGCTCGAAGCATGTCGCGGGCGCACCAGTGATGCAGGTTGAGCTCAAGTTCGAGAAAGCCGGTTATCACAAGGCCGGTCGATGCGCAAAAATTTCCCCACTGAAACAGAAAGCTTCATAACGTGCATTGGCTTCTACATTCCGATGCCGTGTGAGTCGTATCCACTCAAGACCTGCAATCTCGATTCATGTGTTCCAAGCCGACAGGTCTTCTGCTCCACTGCAGCGCGTGGTGGAATGAATGTAGAGTACCTGCCTCAGAGATGCACGGATAACTGAGCTCCATTCCACCCTGTCGGAAGGAGCAATCATGCTTAGAAGCGGATCAGTCCTCATAGGAAGTAGCACACACAGCTGAATCTGAGCGCACAGCGATGCAGTGCGGCTCAGGGGTCCATGGTTGGTCTTTGGTGGAAGCCATTGGTGGACTGGTGGACTATGGTGGAAAAAAAAATGATGCGAAAGGCTCGCAATGCAGGTGTATGTGCGGCCCGCCGTGTAATCTCTCAACCTGGCTCTGGGCTTGGAAAGCCGCGAAGCCTCACTACCGATCACAAACTCAATCGAACGAGAACGCAAAACCAAGCTCAAGAGGAGAGATCCCCTGGACGCAAAGGTCGCCAAGTTGGAAATGCTTTGCTAGAGTTGAGCGCCCAGACTCAATGCCGGCCCGTCAAAAAGAGCAGAATCTCTGCTGCTCTGCTGCCCCACGTGCTCGTGGTCGAAGCCACAGGAAAATCGACCCCACCAACATCCAAGAGCAATGACCAGGAGCTCCAAGCCACTAACCCGGAAGACCCCATCAGAAGCATCATCACGAGCCAGCCGAGCTCCACAAGTTGAATTAGAAAACCCATTGGCAAATCGCTGTCCATCTGCTGAAGCTGGCTCCGCCAGTCAATCGGCAATGCAGCTTCAAACGATTCCTCGAGGTCAAGTGTGCATGGCCGCGACTCATCAGCGCCATCCCCTTCCGGGGCCTCTAGGTGAGCTCTTTGGTCTCCTCATAGGAAGTACTTGTACCTGTGGGTGGGCTCCCAGACTTCAGGCTTCAGGCCTCACGACGTAAGTGGGACTTCGCAATATGTGCACATCGCTCACACGGCCACCACCTGTGCGCGTCCCCCTAGCTTCAGCAAGAGCAACTGCAACAGATCATAGAACATGAAGGCTCGAGTCCACAAGCTGTTTCTCCGAGACATGTGCTTGGTGTGGACATGTGAATGGCATCGCATCTCAAGCACCGTCTCAGTGAGGGTCAGCTTAGCCAATGCGCTGGTGTCACAGGTCTCCTGCACCGATGAACTGCGACAACAACTGACTGAGGTATCGAGACACCGATGGCAGTACTTTCCGGCGCGTTGTGGAGGCCCTGCAGTTGTCTGTAGTTGTTGATCTTTCTACAAGAAAGTCGGTCGTCGCAGCACTGTGAGCTGCACGGAATGTGGGCCGCAGCTAGAGAAGCTAAGTCACGATTGATGTACAAGCCGTCGCCTTGAAACTTAATCTTGACGTTATGCTCTCGGATGACATTTGTCTCGAGCTTGCTGCTTACATTTTCTGAAACACTTCTTTGCAAACAAGCACGTCATCAGCTCCCATTGATTCGGCATGGACGCCCGTGACTTGTAGCAGGGACACCTTTCGTAGATTTAGAAATCAGCACACCTTCGCAGGGTGTCAACATCTCTGCTCTGGATCAGCTGCCTGTGGACGAGCAAGGAGGTGGAGATTTCCTTCCAACGCATTGAAGATAGGTAGGTCAGCGGTCAGCTTGCACAGGGCTCCATTAGTCTATGGCGCCACAGCGCAAAAGACGCTGCAGGCTCAGCGCGGTGGGATGCCCTGCTGTATCCGCCAACGTCTGCGTGGCGTGGCGGCAGACCAAGCACATGGTATGATGTGGTTGCTGGGAAGAAGATGAGATGAGGGAAGAAGATGAGATGAGCAGCAGTGATTCCTCAGATTCTTCCCTTCCGTCTCGGCCTAGGAGGTCTAGCATGTTCAGAAGCAAACTCTCCAAGTCTGTCCGAGGAACTACACCCTTATTCTTGTGTGTCGTGGAAGGGTGCCTTGGACTGGCACTTCATCAGCCCGAACTTTGAACGTGACATCATGTCACGTCAGCTGGTGGCCCTGCCTCTTGACTGGTGCCAGTTTTGCTGTGAGTCGGCAAGGATGCGGTGCTTATCTTCAACTCATCGCTTCGCGCAAGCACCCTACTGTGCCTGCGGGCGCCGTTTAAGGAGAGGTTTGGCGCAGGTCTCTGTTACTTGTCTGTGAGGTCACCATTTCGACAACGGATGACACCGTGGACCAGGCCTCAAGTTGCAAAGACGACTGAACCTGCGGTGTCCGTGTGGTGAGATCGTGCTTCTATTTCTTGAGACCTGCAGCATTGCAGGAGCAACTCGCGGTCATTGGACCGCTAGACCTGCAAGCACAAACGGCGCCATTGCCTCGGGAAGGGGTTTGGATTTGGATGTCTTGAGTGTTCCCATCTTGAAGCACTGTTCCTTGGTCAGTCAGGTATTCGGTGCAAGTGGCTTGGACTTCCCACTCCCTCAGCTCGTCGGTGCAGCTGCGATGGGCCACGTAGACTTAACAAGAAACAGTTCATCTGCAGTTTCGTCGGTTGGCAGTGACAAAATCTGAGCCACTTCTGAGTCCAGCGATGGTGGCATCCCAGAGACAATCCTGCCTGCGGAATACCTCTACAACTCGCCGGGGCCTTCAACCTGAGAGGGTGGTCACAGTTTGCGTTTGCCGTGGATGCCGTCTAGGAAGTTCTGCAATCTGCGAGTCACTAAGGAAGACGCTGCTCTCTGGCGCCTTGGGCTGCGCTATCAGCGAGTGCCGTCTGTATCGCAGATTGACTGCGGAGCGTCCGAGGGCGTGAACAGAAATGCGACTGACTAGGTTATCCGAAGACCGTGAATGTCTCCGACGTGCCTGGTCCAGTGGAAGCCTTCGAGCGAGTGCAGCCGTTCCAGAACGGCAAGGTCGGAGTCCGGAGGGGGCCAACTGGGTCTAATGAGGTAGCGGTTGCTGGAGACATCGATCCCTGCATGCTTCCCTGAGATCCGTCTTCGCTGGATGCCGCCGCTGGTTTCTTGGGCTGGAACATAGAGAGCATTTCGCATGCTTGAAACCGGTTAACCTGATCAGACATGCGCCCACAGCTTGCGTGTTCTTGATGGCCCAGGAATCTAATGGCAGGCCGATCAGCTCGTACCGCCTTCGCCATGCTGCTTGGTACGGAAGTCAGCATGGAGCTTTCCGGTATGTTTCGCGGTCTTTCCTTCTCTAGCGTGCGGACAATACAAACCAGCAGGACGACGGGCTGGGCGGCGATTTCACCAAGGAGGTGAGAGTCGAGGCGGCACGGGGACCGTGTGGGACAGCAACCCCAGTCTCGAAAGCACAGGTACATGCAGGCGAGCCATCACACGCCAACTGACCTCTGTTTCAGAAATGTTCCAATGTCCAATCATCATGCTGAGCATATCGTACTTTTCGCCCTGTTGTGCTGCAGACCGTTGCCGCGAGCGCATTTTAACTTGCAGTCTGATGGGGAGGCTAAGGCTAAGGACTATGCAGCTTGAGCATTGTTCTGCAGGTGTCCTTCCTGACATTTAGCGAAGTATCTCGGTGGCAAGAGCTTGACCATGCTTGTCCCTTAATCAGTCAATAGTCCTGATCCCTACTGACACAGGTCATCCCAGCAAGCTTCACGGAGGTCGAGGTTCCTGTCCCAGACTCATATGGCTCCTTGGCCTACACGTATCGAGGCTTCGGTTTGGCCAGGGAAGGTTCAAGATTCCCACTGCAAGTGATGCGCTCATGCGAGAGCTGCCAGGCAACATCGATTCACTCCTGGACCCAACGAAGTTGTACCGTTTCGTCGTTGCCTGAGCTTGTGCGGCATGGCACCTTTGCAAACGACGACGACAACCCTTGTACTCCTACCACTTACTACTACTTACCACTACGTAAAATACATACTACTACTTGCTAATACTATATCTGACGACTACGACGATGACTACTGCTACTGCTGCTGCTNNACTACCATTACTACTGCTACTACTACTACTACTACTACTCCTCCTCCTACCGCTACTGCTACTGCTACTGCTTGTGCTACTGCTACTACTACTGCTTCAGTACTACCATTACTACTGCTACTACTACTACTACTACTACTCCTCCTCCTACCGCTACTGCTACTGCTACTGCTTGTGCTACTGCTACTACTACTGCTTCAGTACTACCATTACTACTGCTACTGCTACTACTNNTACTCCTCCTCCTACTACTACTACTCCTGCTGCTGCTGCTGCTGCTGCTGCTACTGCTACTGCTGCTACTGCTACTGCTGCTGCTGCTGCTGCTGTTGCCTCTGCTGGTGATGGTCTGCTGCTCTGCTGCTCTGGTACTGCAACGAGCACTGCCACCTGGTTTGCCTTTGCAAGGAGCTGCGGGCTAGCAATGACGACCGTGCAGATCGCGACTTCCAGGCAACCTCGTAATTGACCCTTGAAGCGGTTCGGGGCAGTGATGGCAGTGGCTTGCATCCAGTTACCGTCGTTCCACTTCCACGCATGAGGAATGCATGACTGCATGACCCAAGCTTCGGTCCCACAGGTCGATGGAGGTGGCATCTCAGATCAGCCAGTCGTCATAGCTCTGCAGCCGGTGGAGAAGGCGAAGCTGCCATGATTTGGGGACTCAAATCAATTTCGCCTTGACCACCCGAAGGCTGGTGCTCCGCTGATTCCTGTGCTTGTGGAGTCGCAGGAGCACGAGGCAGTGGCTCTTTGCAGCGGATGTAACCTGAGCAAAAGTCAGCCATCCGCGCCCAGCCTGGCAGGACGGAACTGGATTTATCAGGACCCGCATGCGATCCACCAATCGGTCTCGTGCTGTTTGAGGGTACTGATCTCCGAAGCCACAGCCTTGGCCCCTCGCATGGTATTAATGAGTTCAGAGAGCCGCCGGACCGTAGCGCACCGTGGCGCAGGATTCGAATCTCACCACCGCGGGAGACCAGTGGTGGGCTGATGGTGCAGTATCGTGTGCCTTGGTGGGTACTACCGTGGGCACTTAACTAGTACCTTTTCAGTTTGAGTCGCATCACCGCCGCATGCAAACAGGGTTTGGTCAAAGGGGTTTCCGCACTTGTTTTGATGTTTATACTTTTGATGGGAAAAGGCTAAATTCAGGTCAGACTCAGAGTCCAAGTTCTTTTGGATGATCGAAGTGCGAATTGTCATAGCATCTAGATGGGTCAGCCGTGGAAATACCAGTGCAAATCCGATTTTCTCCACCCTTGGAGAGCCGGCTTGCCAGACTCACGACCCATTGTTTGCTCGTGACTGGCAATGGCACTTGTCATCGGCCTTCGCTTTGTCAGAGCACGCTTCAGGTATATGCCAGCTACATCCTGGATGGCGTTTTCCCGCCGTTGGAGCTGTGGGCCGAGGTGTCCGTGGATTCGTGGATGCTTTCAGGGCCGTTTGCGAGAAACAACTGCAGGGCTCGACCCCGCTGGAGACTGTGGATGTAACGCTGACAGATCTCACCGTCGGCCGGACCTACGCAACTTGTCAGATTGTTATAGCAAGAGGTTGCAAGAGGTGCCTGGTTGCTAGCTTCTGTCTCACTTCCAGACGCAAGCTTCGGACCAACCGGTGACGATGTTTGAAAGCTAAGGTTTTTGAGGTGGCCTACCTTTTCTCGCAGGGTGAGTCTGAGAGGTGCTGTGAATCTGCTCGGGTTGTACAGGGACAGCTGACACAGGGCTCCCTTTGTCGTTGTCTTTCGCTGAACTCTGGCTGTTTAGTACACACATTGGTGACCAAGGGTGCTTGCCAAATTTTGGTGCTCGGAACCCTGTATAGAGTGCCGTATTAGGGCCTTGTTGGGGTATGGAAGAGGGTCGTCAACAGCATCCGGCTGGCAGGAGCCCTCCTCTGGAGCTAATTTGCTGCTATGCGGCGATTCCACAAGCGCCGAGCAACTTGCCACAAATTTATGGCAGGTGGTGAGACGCACCTCGGTGATATCGTTTGGTGGAAGCAGGAACGTTAGAACTTCACTGGATTTCCCGAATGCACTTCACAGACAAAGCGTGCTTTCTGCTCCGGGCCTAGACCATGGGATGCGCATGTTGAATCATTTCGGTTCCGTGGCCTGGAGGATCTCATGGGATAAGCCTTTTCTTGGATGTGCATCTGCGGTTTTGGGTGGGCGTGCCCCTCAGGGAACCTTCGCCGGAAGAGCGACACTGGTGGACTTCCAGTTCAGACGGACGATCGCATCACGATCCCAAGCCGCAGCTAGAGCAGGAGACTGGCAGACTGGCCCTCCTGAGAGCGAAACTTCACTCGCTAAGTCGACTCCAAAACTACTAAGCCAAAGTCCCAGGCCTGAGCATACTTCTAGCATCTGCCGGCAAACAGCTTCGTGCCTGTTCTTCGGTGGTCTACAAAGGTTTCAGCTAGTAGCGAGTTATTGGCGAGGATTCTGTGCTTGCCTGAGGGTCATCTGGGATGCTCCAACTTTCGCTGGTGTCCGCGACATCACCCACTACAAGGCTGGCGCTTAGCTAGTTCCAGTTCCTACACTGCGCTGTGCGCCAACTACTTGAGCAGTCGCAGGGTACGTTCAATGCTATGACCACCTTGTGGCTTTGACAATAGCACTCTTTCGACACGACGGCCTCAGTAAGTAGATTTGACAGACTGCATCCGCCGCGGGGGCGCGACCTTTGCATCGATGCTTAGGTGAGCTTGACCCCGGTCGTGGTTCTGCAATCCAGCGAGAAGCTGCGCTCGTCCGAGGTACTGAGGAACACAAGGCCACCAAGCCCATGTGGTGTTACCGTCACTTGAAGTTTGCTAACCTTTGTTATTCTAGAGTCTGAGTTCGCAGCGGCCCGCTTCGTCTTAAGGCCATTCTCGCATTGTCGTCATTACGAGGTCAGCCGACGATCGCGAGATGCAGTTCGACAGTCTCTCAGCAGGACAGACCTATGCGCTGCTCAGCTGGGAATCTGGACATCTCGTCTCCCCTGTAGTTTGGTGGCTTCGCATCAAGACACCCTACTGGGATATGCAATGGGGGATGAGAATGTACAACATCACTGGCTTCCCTCGACTTATATGTTTATGGTTGCACAACCAGTGTTTAACGACATGAGGAATCCGGAGTTGGTTTCAAACCAAGATGAACAAAACAAAAAAGGGGAGGGTGAGGGTGCCTTACTTGTAGAATGCCGTTGAGACTTGAGAAGTAGGCGTGATACGCATGGGCCCGGATGGGTACCGTAGTCACACGAGATCTCCGCGAGAGATCTTTGGCTGAGTATACTGGCTGGTGGGCTTTGGTCCCTCGAAATTTTTCAAGGCTCCGAGTGGCGGCAGTCTCCGGTGCCGGAGATGGACCTTGGAGCGAAGAGGTGGCAGCTTGGCATAAGCAGTGAACCTGGCACCGGGACAACCCCCTGCAATCCTGATGGCCACGGCCTGTTTTGAGACACGAGCTCGTCGGACGCCAGATCTCAGGTTATGCCGGCTTCGGGCTACAGCACGGAACCGCGCGACTTGACAGAGTAGATGTGAAGAGTCGTAGGTCGTCGGAGATAGAACCATTTTGGGACCGGAGATGATTTAGTAGATGTTTGAGTCTGGAATTCGGTGCCGTGTATTATCTGGGGGGCTCTGGTTGTGCTACGTTTTGAAAGTACAATGGAGTTGAAAGCCTTCCAGCCTGTCTTTCGCAAAAAGCTGACCGGCACGCGTGCAGCGTGGAGTTCCCCCCCCACCCCCACGTGGCACTCAACTGCCGAAATTCAATGTTCGGCATGATGCAAAAGGCAGAGGTGGAACCCTTGTTAAATGATTGCTCCGCAACCCGTGGAACAAGCATGAACCTGCCCTTCTCCACCAGAAAACAACAGCTGCGAGATACGTATCTGCTTTGCTCACTGCTCGAGTGCGAGGTGATCTCCATGTCGCCTTGCAGTCGAACTCCTCGATCCAATTTGCCTGGGGCGAGCCACTCCGTGTGGGCGCTGGCGGTTTGCGAGGCCGACTCGCCGAAGCTTCTGAGAGCGACACATGTGACTGCTATGGTATCTTGCTTGATGTTGCTTGGCTCGAACCCTGGCAGGTTATTCCATCTATGCCAACGTCTCCACATTGGCAGCAGCTCCTGCACCATACCTTGTCGGGCAGACCGTGGCAGGTGAGTGGCTCCAAACTTCGAGTGCCTTGACAAGATGGGAATAGGCCATTCTTTATGTTAGCACAGGTCAGAACAGCTTCAGCTTCACTGGCTACAGCTACGTTGCCACCGACGGCCGCCTTCGCAATGTAGGTCTGATCCCAGGACCTCGACGGCGAATCTAGGGATAGAGAAGTGCGGTGAGAGTCTGAGAGAGTCAGGACGGCTCTACGAGGTCTTCGTGGTTGCCGAGAATGCAGCAGGTGCGAGCAGCAGCTTCTCTTCTACATTACTGTGGGAGCTGATCTCAGGAGTTGGCCCGGCCTCCGTGTCCTCGACGATCTCGGCGGTGGCCGCCTCCAAGCCGCTGCCCCAAGAGAGCCACATTGCAGGCGAAGAGGCGAATGCAGGGACAGTCCCCGCGAGGCCCTCTGCTCCCCAGGCCTTCGCGGTTGACCTCGAGGCGTTGAGTCAAGGAGCACCGTGCCGCAATACCAAGCCGTGAGCCTTTGAAGATCACTTGGCCTCGGCCTCCAGGAGTGGTGGACCTGTCCTGGCAGATGCCTTCAACCGATGGTGACTCCCCGATCGATGCCTACCGGGTGCAGCGCATGAAGGAGTGGCCCGGAACCTTCCTGTCCCTGGGCAGAACTCGGCGAAAACAACAAGAGAGACAAGGTCGCTCTTTTTTGCTGGCTTTTGCTGGCTTGCTGTGTCTACCAGGTCTCAGTGCTCCGTTCTGCTCAACAACTTGGGCGAGCCTGGTGGCACCTGCTCCTCGGCTTTCAGCATGGCCAGGCGTGTGTGCCCAGCAACTGCTTACATGACGTTGCCAGTCATGCTGGCCTTGCACCTTGGCAGGTAACTGCGTGCCATTTTGGGTGGGGGGAATCCTGAAAGATCTCAATCTCGTCAGTCAACTTTGTGCAACGCATGTGCAGCTCTGTCGGGACCAGGGAGATAGACAGGTTAGGTTTAGGATGTACTGGCCAGCACGATGGGACGTGTTTGACAAGACGGAAGAAAGCAAACTCTGCTGAACCACAAGCTGCCCTCTACTGTATAAAGTCAGAGGTGTGATTGGGGACTTCGCGGCCAATGGTGTTGGGGATACTCACCTCATCGAGGAGAATCCTGGTCAGGCAGGGGTCGCAAGCCAACACGGCTGTGGATTCGGACTCGCCGTCGTTCCATGGAGCCTCACCATGCTTTGGGACGCTGCTACTAGTCAACACTCAAACCCAGTGTCGTTAGGCACCGACTTGCAATCCCTCCGGAACAGGTGCGCATCTACACTGGCCGTGCCTCAGTCGCAACACCTCTCGGGATGCCTTTCCGCAAAACATGCTTTCCGAAGTCTGTGGCGGGCTCTGGGTCGTCAGGAATCAGCAAAGGCAACTAGTGGGTTCCGGTGCACATGTGAGTTCTTTCACATGGAAAGCATGGGATTGATTGTGCATGGTATCTTTGTTCCATGTTTTGAACGGCTTGGGCGTCTGTACTTCTCCGGACGTTCCCGATGCACAGGTGAGGGATGGCGAGGGTTGTGCAAAGTTGCGCGCGATTCCGAGGCATTGCCGTGCGGAACGTGGCACGGGAAACCCAGTCTTCTGTGCTATGCTCAATAGCGACTTGTCTGCCGAGGTGTCCTTCCGATTGCTTGCAAATGCTTGCAATAGTGAGAGCAGGATGTGGGTCGCCATGTCATGCCAATCTCGCAGGAGATACAAGACTCGTCAGGCAGATGCAAACTAGACCAGAGAGCCCGATTCCCACGACCTCCCAGAGCCATGGCTCGCCCGCTTCTACCGCTCAGGACGTGTTTGGTGATCCGCTGTTCCCCACGGCCGAGTATGATCCCGGACGCGACGAGCCGCCACTCAGAGAATGCTGCTTGTCAGGTAATAGTGCGGGGGGTTGCGCAAGCATGTGAAGTAGGGTCTGCACGGGGAATGTCTAACGGGCGCGTAACATGTTAGGTGTCACCGTGGGTCTACTTCATGTCATCGTGCTCCCAAGCTCGTGAGCGTTATCCCCGTCCCGATGAACCGCTTTTGCAGAATTGACACGTGGTGACGTGGTGCTAATCAAATTGACGTGACTCCTCTATTGTGGTTTCCGGTGCCTCTGCTGCAGCAGCTGTGGGAGTGCCTCCCGCTTGAGGTTACGTGTTGGTGGAGGTTTGTGCTGACGAGCCGGGAGCGCCTTGACCAAAAGTGTACATTCAAGAGCTATGAACGCTAGGAACAGCCAGCGCCGAGGACTGGCATGATGCAGACAGCGACGCCTTTGACTGCGGATGGTACGCGGCGGAGCCAGGAGCAGCAGAGGGCTTGGCTCGTGGGCTGCTTCCTACGCTCGAGTGCCAAGCTGCCTGCAGGACGGTGTGAGATTTTCGGAGTGGCTGGGCAGCAGGTTCCGAACTAGCGATATTTCGAATAGCCATGGTGAGAGTCATTGCCGAATCCATCTTCGCAGGCTGCCATAATTTACACAGAGACTTTGAAGGGTCTACGGCTAGTTTCAGTCACTTGAGGTCCGTTCACCGGGCCTGTGGAATCGAACTGCCAGTGAGGCTGGACCGATGAAACGCACTTGTCTTTACCGCGAAATTGGCCGCTTTGCAGTGTCCTGAGAAGCAATGTTTCAAGCTTCAGCCTTCTGCAGGCATGCTGTGCATGTGGCGGCGGCCTGAAGACGAACGAACTGAAGTTCTGCACCAAGGAGCCCGGTTCTAGGTGCGGGCCCCTGCTGGACGGAACAGTCGAATGCCAGGAGTTTGGTACTTGCGAGTTCAACAGCACCATCCCTGCTTTCGGTGGCCTCAAGGCAGACTACACTGATGGATGCTCGGCATTCCTTTTCCTCCGCCAGCCTTCAGTTGACCCATTGCATCTGACATGTCACGACTCCAGCCGTTTGCACGTGCATATCTGTAAGCTGAAGCTCGCGCTGGCTCCGTTACCTGCAGCGGCCACAGACAGCACTTGGCTGTCGATGTCACCCATGCGTGCTTGGGCGACAATTCCACTGACCCTGCTCGCTGCGGCAGACAGAGGAGCCAACTGGCCGCCCGTGGCTCCAAAGAATGCCTTCGTACACCTCTTTGAGTGGTCTTGGCAAGATGTGGCCAGAGAGTGTGAGGAGTGGCTAGGCCCCAAGGGCTTCTCAGCAGTTCAAGTTTCCCCGCCCATGGAGCACATCCAGGGCCAGCAGTGGTGGACCCGATACCAGCCAGTGACTTACAATCTAACCAGCCGCTCTGGCAACGAGAAGGATTTCAGAGATATGGTCAGCCGGTGTTCCAAGGTAGGTGTCAGCATCATTGCAGATGCAGTGATCAACCATGCAGCTGCCGGAAATGGTGTTGGAACAGCAGGAAGCTCCTATGGCGGACGATCAACTGCTATCTATTCTCAAGAGGACTTCCACCACAACCCTGATGACACCAGCCGGAACTGTGGTGTGAGCAACTACAACGACAAGTTCAACGTTCAGTACTGTGACTTGGTCGGCCTTCCGGATTTGTGCACGGGGTGCTCGCAAGTACAACAGGTCGTCGCACAATACCTCTCCAACCTGCTCCAGATTGGCGTTGCTGGCTTTCGCATCGATGCAGCGAAGCATATGGATGCAGGTGAACTCAAGAAAATGCTCGAGCAGACGAAGGGTGGCGTGCCCTGGGTGTTCCAAGAGGTGATCGAGGGTGGAAACGAGGCAGTGACGCCACAGATGTACACTGACATAGGCAAGGTGACGGAATTTGGCTACTCGAGACAGCTGGCCCCGAACTTCATAAACGAGGGTAAGATGAAGTATTTGGACACCTTCGGAGAGAAGTGGGGGTTCATGTCTAGTGACTCTGCTGCAGTCTTCTTGGACAACCACGATACACAGCGTGGCGAGGCGTCGCTGACCTACAAATCCGGATCTCTTTACACCCTGGCAAACATCTTCATGTTGGCCCACCCCTATGGTTACCCCAAGGTCATGAGCTCGTACTACTTCGACGATCACGACCAAGGCCCACCTGGCCAGCCAGTGCACGGCGATTCGGGCCTCGCATGCGGAGACGGTCAGCCCTGGGTTTGCGAGCACCGCCGGCCTGAGATAGCCAACATGGTAGCCTGGAGGCAGAGCGCTGGCACCGAAGGGCTGAAGGCATTTCTGGCTTCAGACGATGGGAACAGCATTGTCTTCTGCCGCGGAACTGCAGCCTGTGTCGCATTGAACCGTGGTTCAAGCAGTTGGAAACTCACGGCCAAGCTCACTTTGCCGTCGGGCAAGTATCGGGACGTTGTTCGTGCGAGCGACATCTCGACTTGTCCGATCGTCGAGGTGAGGTCTGATGGCTCAGCCGATCTTGAAGTTCCATCCATGAGTGCTGTGGCTCTGCACATCGGAGCGACCGAGGGGAGCCACAACCCGTTTATCATTTCAATTTGATCGTATCTGGCCACAATGTTTTTGTTGAAGACAGCAGTGGCAATGCTTTTAATTTTGCAGAGTTGAGTGCAACGCGGTGCTTGGCCGAGCCTGAAGGTGCTTTGCTAGCTCGATGTTGTTGGGCGCAAAGCCCGTGTGGGTACCCACCGGCAGATTGGTGTTTACGGCAGATGGCGCGGAAAGAACTCCGCAGTTGACGCGACAGTGTTTTCATTTCTGTGACATCTTGTACCCTGAGTGTCTTAGGAGTTACGCCTGTCTACTTCGGGAAGCTCGAGAGTTCGGTATGGTCCGTGGCAGACACTAGCGGGGTGTGCTGGCGGCAGTGGAACAGCCAGATCTCTGCAAATGCAAACATCGGCGCCCATGGCAGATGCACAATTTGGCAGGTTCTAGACTAGACCCCGTGCCACGACTTTGTGTGAGGGGAGATGTGGGACGTGGCTTCATGGCCCTGCAAGCCTTGTGCAAAGGTCGTCGAATGCAGCCGCGCCATCGGCGGCAGGGCCGAGGCACCCTGAAGTGTGAAGAGGCCGTTCTCCGTGCCTCGAATCCTTTTCGCAGGTCACAGGTGTCAATGACATCGCCTTCAGCACCCAGCAGTTTCCCGGCAAGCTGCGATTCAGTAGGGCCTTTGCCAATCGTGAAGACTTTGGTGACTGCACACTTTCAGGTTTTGCTACATCGTCGAAAAGGACCAGGGAGGTTGGCGGGACCCCTGGCAGCATTGCTTGCGCCTCCGTGGCGTGAGCCCAATTTATCTTTTCCTTTCAAGTGGAAGGGCTTCTCCGTGGTAGACTGGGTCCAGGACCCTACGATCCGTGTTCAAATCCCATTATACACATCTGGACGTACCCGAAGCCTGAAGCACTGCGATTTTCAGGAGTTGCGTTCGGCGTCCACCTTCAGCACGGATCTCTTCTACAGCGACGCAGCTTCGGCTCTACTGAGTATCGTCTAGTTCAATCTCACAGGGTCTGCATGGCAGTAGTCATCCAGTTTCCATCCCGGCCGATGGATGTATCATCTAATGTGATCCATAATCGCTTCATAAAGACCAGAAGGGGCATCTAAGCGAATACACTTCGCACTGCCGCAGAAAAACCGGACAGGATCATCAGTTACAATCTGCAGTCGTTACACCCATGTTATAAGAGTTGCATGGGGAGCCGTGTCAACAGCCAAGATTCTTCGTGTGTTCGGGCACGTCGGGGTGAAGTAACTACCGCAACTCGCGTCGGCTTTGTCCGCCCCACGTCACGACTCTCTCTTGGGCCTTCTTCATCGTCGAAGAGGCGCGGAAGATGAAGCCAAGCGAAGCGATTGAGCAACGAACACGGGCTCACGCATCGAGACGTGGGTGTGACTTACAGGGCAAGCCTGCGGCGTGCCATCTTGCTTGCTGGCTTGCATGGCCTGCATTCGCGCGACAAAAAACATTCCCAGTCTTGTCGGCACTGGCACCACCACTACGACGACGACATACGACGACGACGACGACTACTACCTACTACTCGCAGGCCTGGACTACAACATGCGGCATACGATGCGAGATGTTGCGAGTGACTTTTCGGCTGTTTCACGTGAATGTGTCTAGATTGCCTCACGGACTTTCACTTCAATCGGAACCCATTGCGGGCGCCGCGGCCATTGCACACCCTGGCAAGCCATGCGGTCCCTAGCAGCGTCATTTGTCCGGCTTTCGCCCGCCTGTGCTGCCTCTACGACTCTAACAATTTGGTCACGGAGACGGACGTCCGACACGGAGACGATCCCGTACAACACGTTGTCGGCCGGGTGAGCCTGGAGTGCGCAATTAACGTGGGGATGACCTTCGGTGAAGGAATGCCTGACCGCGTCATCTTGCAGAGTCTGCACTGATTTTTCTGTCACCTCGGTGGCCCTGGTTAACGCTATACTTCGAATGTCTTGTAACCAGTCGACATTAGCGAGCCTGGCCGTTGCTTCTGTACCGGGTTACCAAGTTGGGCAGCGGTAAGAGTGTGTGTGCATCTTAGATCATCTTGATCAAAGTCGGTGGTTGGTAACGCGCATGTCCTCACCGATCCTGCAAATCAACGACTGAGTCCTATCTTTTTTCGGCACAGTGATGCTGGTCGCCAAACATTTCATTCTGTAGTGAGATACTGCACGTTGTAATGACAAGAAATCTGGGCATCTAACCATGGCTTGTCCAGGTTCGAGCGGTGCTTAGCCATCGTTACCAGTATCGAGTCTATGCCACGAATGAGGCTGGGCGGTGTAAGTCTGCAATTGAAGCATGTTCAATTCGATTGTGTGCATGCAGGCTAGGAATTCAGGGATGATACTTGCTTCAGCGACGCTTCGAGTTCAATGGACAGTCAGTCGACCAAGAATCCACGGTAGCTGCTTCTGCTTGCCAAAATGCAGGCCGTTGCAGGTTCAGTGCTCGCGACCCCGGAAATCTCAATTGCATCTCGGCAACATTCTGAGTGGGATGATCGCAGTGGTTGCAGGAAACGGTACGACTCGCTCCTAGAAGAATTCCATCGCGGAACAGGATTTAGTGTTTGCTGTTGACTTGCGACATGTGTTTGCATCGAAGGTGACTGGTGGTCTACCGGATCCTCCGGAAACTGTGGTTTTGGGTTCTGACCAGATGACAGTCCGCATCGCTTGGATCGAACCTCCAGGAGAGCGCTTGAGCCATGCCCTGTCGATCAGAAGCTAGACACCAGACCACTTAGCTGCGGCAAAATATGTCCCCTCGTCTCTCTCCTCCTGCCTTCTGTGCATAGCTTCCTTGATGAGGACAAGGCCTGAAAGTGGAAGGCGGCAGGGTGGGATGCACAGGGTGGAGTTTCGACATCTTCCTGAGGAATCCAGGCAGAGGTAGTCCGGCATAGGAAGTTCTCTCTGGGGTCCCTTGCAGGCTATCGAGTTTATGTCGATGGCAAGTTGGCTTATGATGGTGCAACGGACTCCGTCACAAGGGAGCTCCTTGGTGGTGGTTCTGTGGCACTGTCAAAAGCTTGAATGATGCAAGAAACCTTGTTGAGGTTCACGTTGCTGAACTGCACACGTGGAGAGCTGCGCGACCTGGCGGTTGCTGCCGTCAATGCTGGCGGAGAGACCTTGGCCACTCAGCCGCACCGATTAACTGGGTCCGTGCCGTTCCTGCAAAGATGCCTTGAGGTGCCGACGGTCATTACGCGACACTGTGCACGCCGGCCCTTCAAGCCCGAGAACCTTGGAGCCATGAGTTCAAACAGCATCTAGATTCTAGATCAGCCGTGCCTGGGTAGGATCAAAAAGACACCTTAGTTAGCGTAAATTCGCGTACAGAAAACAAGCTTTGTAGGAAAGTCTAGTGACTAGAGGTGTCAGGATCTGCAGATGTGTGTCTTGTCTGGACATCCTGGGCGGTGTGAATTCGCTCCAAAAAGAGAAAGTGCTCAGCCCATGCAAAATCAAATTGCCCATGTCATCTTCTTGAAAATTAACAGCTTATGGACAGCGAAGTCATCTGCATGCACTCTGTAAGCAAACGAAAAAGCAGCAGATTCCTTCACTTCATTCGAGACATGATTCGGTAGGATACAAGAATCCCATGTCATAAACGCGATGAGTGACTTGATTGTAATGTTGTTTCCTGGGACTTGTTGCATTGCTGGAGACCAAAAAACCAGTGGCAAAGGCACTGTGGACACCATGACAGCACCAAGATGGATGCCAAATGTATTGATTACTGCTGCCTCAACTGAACCGTTCGATCAATGGGCATAGGCATGAGCTAAAACCAGGTTCGGCCTTCCCACCTTGCATTGCAGCCGAGGCCACCAACCATTGTGTATGTTGACTGCGTGAAGGAAGCCACACCTGACAGAATGTTGATCGACAATCACATCCGCATCGAGCCACGCCTGCAGAAATCATGCACTTCATTCTGCAGAACTTGGTGGGACTCCTGATCTGACCCTGCTCGTGCACTAGGCTTACAAAGAGCCGGAAGACAACGGAGGCGCGTTGCCGACTAAATGCAATCTAGGGGGGCATGCGAGAGATGCTTCTCTAGGCGATCCCGTTCCTGTGATTTCCTCTGGAATCTGGGTCTCAATGAGTCTAACATTAGCAAGCGTTCGCAGGGAAGAAATCCGCAACAAAGTGCGTACAAGCGCGAAGCCACAACGACCAACTGGGCTTCATGCCAGATGATGCTCTGCGCATCTCCAGTCATGATCCGTACTGTTCGTCTTTCCAGGAGTGCCGCTGACTGGCTGGCGCATTCAGCGGGCACAGGGAGAATCCTTAGCTTTCCGAGGCGTCGGCCCTTTGTTCCTCGGCCAAAGCGCAAGACCCTGTCTGTTTTTTGAACAGAGCGGCCACCTATAGAACATGGGAAACCGTTGAGATTGCCTTTTCGACTCAGGTTCCCCATCCCTGAGAATGAAGTCTGGTTTGACGACTTCAACGCCGCTCATCTTCGATCTGTGTGTCAATACAAATGCACAGCTGCAATACAGCTCGGACGACTGTCACCTCAACACGCCCCATGCGCAAAGAGTAAGGACCTGGATGGAGCCGGAAAAATCGGCTTAGTTTGGGGGGAGATCTACAAGTACAGAGCCAAGGTTGCATGTGGTTGCGAGAGTGGCCATGCAAAATGCCGCGTCTGCTGAATAAAAAGCTGTGCGCGAACCTGTCAAGGAGTTGTGGCAGTCAACGACATCGACATCTGGGACGACGAGAGCGCATCCGATTACACGATTGTACGATGTTCCAACGAGGCAGGCAGTCTTTGCTGCCCGAGATCGTCTGCTGTCACCGAATCGGACGTGCAGGATCGTGTCGTCAGGGCCAGTCAATCGACACTCACCGTCAGATTGACACTTCTAGAAAATCCGCTGCAGGCACCTGAGGTTCCGTGGTGGCTGCAATTAAATGCATCCACGACGACCACCACAACCACTGCAGCTCCCCGCGCTTAGCAAGCTTTTCATGCTGTGGTCAATCATCAATCGCAGCTAGCTGTTGTTTCACGATTAATGTATGTTTACTCGCTGACACGTTGAGCACGGCCCTTGTCCAGAGGCCGCTGACAACCAGACTTTCGCTGCGGACTTGGTAACGGGCTTCGTTTGGAGCGTGGAGGCTCGGCCAACACGACATCATTTTGCCAAAGAAGCTCGCAAGTCGCCATGCATATTCTAAATTGCATTTGGTTGCCCGCAGCAAGGGGACAAGCTGACAGGCCACAACGACCACCACAACGTTGACAGCTATGGAAAGCAGCCATGCCTTTGCGAAACTGGCAGACGTGGACCCAAGCTCTTGAACGCGGCACATGTTCGTGCACTCACTCATCTATAGCGAGTGCCGATGAGCTCTGTGGCCGCTTGTGAGGACCCCAGGGACTGCTATTTACCTCAGAATGTTACTGAAGAGCCCTTCAACTTTTCCGCAACGATCGTGTGTCTTGGCAGAGATATTATCGCGGTGCTCCTTGAACTATTCGTAGGCTGGCGCTCACGAAACACCCACAGTCATGGCAGGCAGGCTTTGGAAGCCTTCGATCTGCCACCTGCACCAACAATCTCCGTCGCTTGGTCCGCGTGCTGCTTGGCGACGAAGAGTGTGAAACTGAGCACTCTCCGTGTTGGAGTGGTTCTTTGAGGCAACACCTCGGTGAGAAAAGGAGATCCGTGCAAGGAGTTCTTCCCAGACAGGCCCGGCCCGGATGCGAAGCCGTGAAGTGCGAGCGCGCGTTCGTGGCAGGTCTGACGTTGTGGCATGTGCTAGACTGGAGTTTCGACCCACTCAGCCGGCGCTGCTCGCCGCAACAGATCTGGAGCTAGGCGGGCAGCATGTAAGCTCATGTAAGCTCTCGACATCTCTCGGTTCAGGCTGACTCTGATTCGTTATGAGTTATCAGTGAACGAGAACAGAAACAGATATTCAACACTATCAGCTTGACATGGCTGACGACGACTTTGTCCCGCTGCACGGTCAACGCCAACCCTGCGCCGCTTAGGAATATCTCGTGCCCCGTGGAGTGGTACGAAATAGAGCGCAACGAAGAGCAGCCTGGCTGCAAAGAATCATGTTGACGCAGGCCAGGTATTCGACACACTCGAATCATCTGATGATTCGAGTGACAGCCTCACGGCTGGTAGCCGTCCATGAAATGCATAGCAACCTGCTGAGGCTGATTGCCACGGTCCGGCCATCGCAAAACGGCTACTGTCCCGCATCCTCACGCCAAATTGCCAGCATTTTCATGCCTGCGCATCCTGCTTCTCTATGTCATCACCGCGAGGCTTGGTCGATGCTTACACGGCCGACACATTTACTGCCTCCCACTACGATGGCTTTTTTGGCACCCGCTTCACTTGCGTTTTGGCCTACTGGTATGAGGTGGCAATCATAAGGTACTTGTAGCGGTCTGTCGCAGCATTTCGATTCAGCCATGGTGGCACTGGGAAGAGGTAGCTAGTTGTTCTAGTTCTGTTCTGCTGGCTGCATTTTCAAGGTTTCCAGACTATTCCGAATCGCGACTTACACGACAAACAGCTGTACAGGACCTTAGCAGCCGATGTCGATTGCAGATTGCAGCAGGGATGTCGGCTTTGCACCCTGAAGCTCATCGAAGGCAACTAGCTGTCTGTAGAGCTATCAGCTTTATTTCGACAGCTCAACCGCAGGATCCGTGCCCAGAACTGTCGAGGATGGGGTGCGTGGTCGGAGGCAGGCACAAGCCTCGCTGCGCACTACAAACTGCAAAAAGTTCATCAGACACCTCCAGATGCAGCGTGCAGGAACTTCCAGTCCCAGTGGCTGCTCCTCCAGCGCCAGTTTGTGGCCGCTGGTTTGTAATGAGCAGTCAGCGATTCATCGCGGATCTGCGCCTGAAACCGACCGTGATGAAATGCATAATGTCCTTCCAGCGTATGATGGCGATAGTATTCGTAGGCGCGATCCTCATGAAACAAGCATGGGCACCATACAAATTGCGAGTGGGGTCGTCGTCAAACCCCAGCTGCAAAGCATGCAAAGCCTGTAGCCGTTGCAAGAAAACTCTTGTGATTTGAGGCCTTTGGGGCTTCAACAGCGACTTCCAGTGCCTTGGATTTCCTGTCAGGCTATCACAAACACAAATTGATATAGCTTGGTTGGTTGGCTAGTTCGTGGGTCAGTTGCCGAATGAGACCAAAAGCTGGGACGTGCGAGGTACACATGCACTCAGCCGGGCTTGTCCGTGACTCCTTTGCCACCTCGCCGCACGCAGGGACTGGCAAGCTTTTCAGAATGAGACATTGGGTAGCAGACTGAGCTGTTACATGACAGCTGCAGGTGTCTTGGGAGCACTACCTTGATTAGCATGAAGCATGAAACGAATCTAGGCACTAAGCATCGCATGATTTGCCGAGGAACGACACCTCGGCACAGTTTCAGTGGACCTTGCTCCAGGACGGCAAACCTTTGGGGACTGCGAGGCTTCATGGCTGAAGCACATGCTGGTCAGGACGTACACCTCGTGGATGTGGCAAACAATTTCTCGCGAATACAGGCCGCCTGCCTTCCGTTGTCTTGTGCGAGGGCTTCCATGAGATCATTAGATTTCCTGAGGCTGATATCGGTCAAGTGGGCCCTGGCGAGCTCTCTGGCAAGACTCTGGCTTTTCGTTAGGGCACGGAAGGCATCGCCTGTGATTTGCAAGCTCGACACCCTCCCATCTGAGTTTCGTGACCTTCTCACAGCAGCTCATCGGCTCCTACGACCCGCGTGCCCTCCTTGGCTACAGACTGCTGCTTGGACTTACGTCTCCTGTTGGTCTGGAGCGGTTGTGGTGAAAGATGGAGGCACGGCGCCACGCTTCACACGTGCTCGGAGGCTTTTGGATGATGGTTTGGGTGGACCCTTCCATCTGGCCTACGACGGCATCGGCAGGCCAGAGATTCGGGATGCAGGTTTCGCCTTCAGTTCGAAAAGCTGGCCCTTCCGGTATTGTGTTGAGTGTACCGCTTGCTGCTTGCCTAAGTCCTGACTGGCAGGCGCCTGACGAATACAGCAAAGGTCTTTGGGCTCATGCCCGAGCGCACCTACCGCGCCTTCGTTCGTGCAGTATCATTTGTGGGCGAAGGCAAGCTTTTGTGCTTGTAGTTGTATTATGTATGATGCTTGTCTGGCAAGCTTTCGGTTTCCACTGCTTCAACCCGTCTAGAATCTAGAGCACAGTGGCGCTCACGACATCTAGCGACGTGCAGGCAACGCTAGTGACATGGTGTACTTCAAGATGGCCATGCCGCTCCCCGCACCGGTACTTTGGCTGAACTGCACAGATCACGTAGTTCTTGTAGCGGTCTCTTCGGGGCTAAGGTCAACCTTTCCGTCAGCTCCGTATCATTGAAGTCCGTCATGCTGACCTGGAAAATGCCTTACGCCGAGACATCTGATGCCCTTCCGTGGCTTGGCTGTCAGAGACCGAAATCAAACACCCGAAGTGCGGCCGGGATGTTTGTTATCATCCAGTGCTGGAGTGTGCAAGGCCACCTTCACGAGACATCGCACTCCCTCATACTTTGGAACACTGCCTCTCAATCCCAGGGTTTCCCAGTACATCGTTCAGATGGCCATGGAGCCCGACTTCAGCAATTGGCACCTCAGACCGATGTGAGATGGGCTTTCTGTTGGGGTTTTGGTGAGTGTATACACGGCTTGTGAATATTGGTGATGATAGAGCTTAACGACCTTCACATATGTCTGCTTTCGTAAAAGCAGGTTCGACGTGCAGAATTCGCCCGCCGACAACACGGAGTACAGTGCCTGGTCTACAACGCAGATGCTTGTACGATTTTGTACGGAAAGCTTGTTTGCCATGAGCCGCAAACTCGCTTCAGGCATCCTGGTGACCCAGTTGGAGGCCGACTTCCAATACGCCCTTCGAGTGATGGCTAACTCAGAGACCTCCGGCGAAATTTCAGAAGGTCTTGGCTATTCATATCTATTCATTCATGCCGAGGTTACAAAATCCAAATCCTGTACTGCCTGATGCAGTATCAACGCACCACACGACACAACTCGCCTCAGCGTACAAGCTGCATGCTTCCGGAAGCAATGCACGAACAATGATGAGTTGGGTTTGTCTGGATCAGGAACGGCCTGGGCCATACCTCAGAGTCGCTCTATTTCTGGGCTGGGCTGCTGCCGAACGACACCTGCATGTATTGAGATCCGTATTTTCTGGTGCTGTTGTTTAGATGTGAGGAGGGCATCATATGCTGCAGCTTTCCTTCCTCGTTGTTGCAGTTTTCCGTTGTTTGTATTACACCGTTTGTGCTTATCATGGTTATGTTGCTTTGTGTTGGGTGTTTTTGCTTTACCTTTTCGCTCTGCTTTTGGGGTTCTTTTCTTTTGCTTTCCGCTTTTCTGGCTGCTGCCTTCAGCTGAGTTTTTACGCTGTGTTATAGATGCCTGCTGTATTGGCTTATCCTGCCGAATTCTGGCTTTCGGCTGTTCGGCCTTCAGCTGCGGTTTGCGTTGTGTTATGTTTGGCGCATTTTGCGGCTATGTTTGCAGCTTGTTTCTGCCGCTTTCGGCGATCTGCTGTTAATGACATCAACCTCCATCGCCTAATGAGGGGGTGGGTTCACGACATGCGAACAACCGCCATCGCCGCCATCGCCTAATGAGGGGGTGAGTTCAAGAAATGTGATCAACCGCCATTCCCTAGGGAGGGGTCGAGCATGAGCTACCACCGTATGTATAGCCCAATTATGAGGGGGAGGTTTCAAGACATATGAGCAATCGTCGCAGCGTCACAGTGAAGGGGGCAGTTTCAGAAGATCAGCCGCCTCTCCCGATTGGTGGGCGGGTTTTCGAACGCCTGATAAGAGAGCCGGTGAGGGGGTCGGTTCAATATGCGTGAGCCTTATGACGGGGAATGTGATCAGCCGCCCCGACTCCCTGACACTTGTATGAGGTCGCGGGTTTAAAGATCTGATCAGCCGCAATCGCACACCGAGGTGGCGGGAGTATGAAGTGTGATCAGCCGCCTTCGGAGGGAGGGGGCGGGTTTACGCATGAGGGGTTCATCGCCGAACCTCCTCCTTTTAAGAAGTGTGGTCAACTGCCATCGGCGAATGAGGGCCCATTCCACGAAATGTGATCAGAATGAGAGGGTTGGGGTTTAGAAGTGTGATCAACCGCCATCGCAGAATGACCGGGCGGGTTTGAGCATTGTGATTGCCGGCTGGAGTGGGATCAAGACATGTACCGTGCAAACTGCAACTCGCTCCCAGCTTTGTCCTGCCTCAGTTTTTAAATAATTATAGAAAGGTACCCATGTAGCAGTGAAGAGCAACAAAAGTAACCACTTTGCACTGACAATCAAGAGCCCAAATTTTTCTGGGATGTGTTACATGCATTTTGCAGTGTGCGTTTCCGTGATTCTGCTAGTGTGGCTGGCTTTTTCTGCGAGCGCGTGTAGAAATGCAAGACTTGTGTTGACAACTGCTGGCTGCAGCCTAAACAAAGATCGCATCACAGCGCGGATGCGGCTCGAGACCCTAACCCGGTACCCCCTTCCTTCCCCTGAACAGCATACAAATACGTCTTCTTATAAAGAGAGACATCATTTCTTGTTGCGTGTTTCACGCGACGCGACGAAGCAGGTTGTCGTAGCCGGAACAGGTATGTCCAGTTAAGAACAAGGGGAGATAGCTTTAAGCTTCTAATTGGGGATCTAATTGGGGATGTGGTTTGCTATCTGTCATTGTCATCATTTCGTGCCCAGTTTGAGCAGTTTGGAGCATTTAGACGAGTCTGCGCATCCTACTATGAGCAGTGTCCACAGCTATTTGCGTTGCTCTAGTGGTGCGATCAGGGTAGACAAATGCAGACGTGCATGCAAGTGTGGGCAGTGCAGGATGTTGCTTGGGGTCTTCCCTGAAGTGCGTATAAACACTATTGTTGTGTTTCGAATCAGGATCATTCGTGTAGTTCGCTGTCGAAGGATGTCGAGCGAATAAGCACTAAGTATCAACAGCCCTGAACAGCGCTTGCTCACGTGATGAAGCTATGACGCCGTGCGCTGTATGTGCATGATGTGAGTGTGGCCGCCACTAACTGTATAATTTGTATAATGTATAGTAATGAGGGCAATCATAATAATACAAAGCGGGCGACCCTGGGCGCGCTTGTTTTGGGTGGTTTTATGTCATGCAGCCACTTCAAAATACGCGCAGTAGGAAAATCCACAAAGAACCAGGAGAACCCACCAAAAAAAAACAGAACCAACAAAAAAGACAGGAACCAACAGCACAAAATAACACGTAAACCCAAACAACAAAAAATCTGGCACTCCTGAATCTGGTGCCAGAATTTCCAAGAATTCTGGAAAAATGTGGTTTTGCTTTTTGTGTTGTTTTGCTTGGTGTTTGGTATTTTGTTTTTCTTGGTTGTTGTTGATTCTTCCGTGTTTGTTCGGTTCTTGCTCTTTTGGTGTTTTGGTTTCTGCCGGTTTGTCCTACTGGGCGTACTAGGGAGCCGGCTGCAAGCCATAAGCCGACCAAAACATGCGCGCCCAGGGTCGGTGCAGCGCACAGGGACAGTGCACTTTCACGGAATGGGCACGCGTAAATATGCCTATGTCAACATGTCAAAGTGTAATTAGTCTCGTCTCTGTGGTATAACCTTGTCGCCCTTGCAGACGAATCGGCGTCTGCGGGATGCAACGATCAATGTAGCTATTGTCCTGATAAAAGCCAATGAAGTATTCCATAGTATCGGCGATCATGTTGTAGTCTTGTAACTAGTGAATATATGTTTACAAATACTTAACGTTGAATCAACGGTAATAACCTCTATTGAATAAATCTATCAACAAGTTTGGACCTTTATAGAAATGTGTATGTGTATGGTATTGGTGTTTATACATATATATGTATATGTATCATATATGATTTTTGTGCTTAACAAGTATGTGCACACTGATGTACCGATGTATGTTTGACATACCAGTAGCGGTGTGAATGCTCATGTTTGTTGAAATTCGTAAACAGAAAGATGAAATTATAGTTAACTGTTCTAGCTTTGTTTGTTTACTCATTCAGTTATTCGTGTGTGTTTGGTAACACCATGTTATAGGAAAGTTATGTAAAGTTTCAGTGGTTACTACGAACAGCTGTTGCAGTAGCTGATTGGCTGCTAGCAGAAGTTTCATGTTTAGCTTCATACTCGTTGGTACAACAATGCTTTTGCTATTATCGTTATTATTGGTCTTGATTCTGATCTTATTTTAATTTCTGGTGTATAGATGTCTACATTAGTTCTATTACCCATGACCCGCAACACAAAGTGACGCAGATCCACATAATACATCGGCTCACGAACCCAGGCTTTAAAAAGGATTATATCTCATATTTACGTTACATGTTCTGGCTCTTACACATTGGTTTACACGTTCATCTTTCCCGTATATTGTATCCACACCATGTTTCTGCTACTCGTGTGAATAGAACCATAAAGAAGTTCTACAGGTAGCAAACATATGTATGCGGCTGTTTATGATTCTATATACAATTGTCTATAAGCAATTTCTTCGCCGTGTATCAGCAGTATTGGGTATATTGTGCTACTACTTTCAAAAAACAGGTTGAATTCTCAGATGTTTGACATGTCTGTATAAGATAAATTAACATAAAGAAAAGGGTTAGTACTGGTATTAACAACACAAGTATGAGCAGATACTTTATTGTCTATAAATCAAAACATGTTGCGCTGCAAACACGAAAAAAGTTCTACACACATGTAAATATATATATATACACACCAAAATTGCCAACATTTGTCATATAGTAGGTATATACTTATACATTCATGCATATATAAATAGGTACACATATGTACATGCGTACATCTATGCACATTTTACATATACCCTTACATATATATATATATATGTGAGTGTATGTACATAAAAACCACACATATACACAAGATGTTTACATATATACATGCATGTAAATGAATGAATCATACATGCATGTAAATGAATCAGTTTCATGAGCTGTTTGTATACGGAGCACAAAAGAACAGAATCATAGTCATTATGCGTATATGTTACCAGACCGATAGACAGAACAAAGATGAGTTCAAGATGCAAACAATATGTACGAACATCCAAAATATAGATAATGGAGAAACACATAGTAGTGGTGGCGGTAAATATTGGAACCCATGCTTTTCCGCTTTCCCTTCGTTCGAGTCGGTAAATTCAGCAGGAGGTACGTTTCCTACGGCCGATACGTTTTCAAAAGCCATGTCTCTGGTCGTTTCATCATCAGGTTAGTTACATGACCAACAGCCACATCTACAGCAAGGCACCACCTTGGCCCCCCAGCAAGCGAACCAAGCCGGGTTTCGAAGCATACGCCACAGCGCAAGAGCCTACATGGAGTGTACTCACTTGATGCAATTGCCGTCGATTCATAGCTTGTGCATTCGTACGAGGACGTATTTACGCATCACCAAAAAATGCAACAAGTGTAACGCCCACAGTCCCACGGACTGTGATCATAACAATAAAAAAAGCAATACAAGTAATATCCTCGTTCTCTTTATTATCACAAATATTACTGTTATGACTAGTATTATTGCTATTATGACTGTTACTAGTAGTAGTAGTAGTAGTA